AAATTAATCTATATATATATATGTATGTATATATATATATTTATATACATATATCTTATATTTATATGTATGTATATATGTATGTATGTATTTATGTATGTATATATATATATGTTAAAATGGGTGTGTCTATGTGTGTATTATTGTATCTTGTCTATTTGGAACACAATTGTGGGGTTGTCAACGAAAATATACATTTTTTTATTCATACGTATGTATATCTCATATGCGTGTGTGATTGCGGGTGGGGGCGTGCGTGTGTAATATTTTTGTGCTGTTTGTTTGTATCATGCAGACACCTATGCATGGACACATCAATACATGAACTTTAATACTCACTCGAATGGCTTTGAATCTCTTCACCTTCAATACACAGCGACTTGACGGTCGTGGTGTATACGACTACCGTAAGGTCAAGCTGACCTATGGCAAAGGCTTTGGCAATGTAGAAGTGCAACTCGGCAGATCGAGAGTACTATGTCAGGTACGATGCATGGCTACCGAGTTGTTGCCTGTATGGGGGGTTTTTTTTAGCTTAGTATGGATGCCTCTCTGTGTATATGCAGTGGTTTCGGTCTTGTGTCGTGGTTTACACGGCTGTCTTCCAGTAAACACGCAGACCAGCACACTAGACGGTACAAACGCGCTTACTATAATACAAGACCAAGCAAGGCAGTACAAGTCTTACAACAGTATAACTTTCTACTCCGGCTATCAGATATCGGCTGTTGTTGTACCTCCCAATGAAGACCGTCAGCATGAGGGTATAGTGGTGTTCAATACAAACTTAGCTCAGATTGCAGACCCGCAGTATGAGCCGGGGCGTCCTTCAGCGTTGGCTATTGAAGTCGGTCGAATCATTGAGCGGGGCTTGAAAGAGAGTAGGGCGATAGAGAAGGAAGGGTTGTGCATTGTTGCTGGTGCTAAGGTATATACTCGTATTTGTTGGTTGGTATATTTGTGCACGCATGTACATCTAAATGCCTGTTTTTCTAACACCTAGGATTTATGTATGTATGCATAGTATGAGGGTACACATGCATACGTACCAGAGACAATATAAATACAATAGGACGTGAATATATTCATTGTACGTGTAAGATGATTCAGGCTGAATAGATTCCAATATAAATAATCGCATAAACTATCTTGCATATGTGTATGTTTGAATATCGATACGTGTCTACCCGCATAAATGACTACGTTCCATGTTTGTTGATACATCGATTTGACACATATTGGAGCATTGCTATGATCTGTAGACGCCACCTTCTGTTATAACACATCGGTCTGTGTATGTAGCTTATTCGCACACGCCCGCGTATCCAATGCTGCAAAACCTGAGTTGCGGTATATATGTCTGGCAAAGCTATGTTACACGCAGAATCCGAAGGAAAAATCTGCCGCAAATGGCACGTATGTGGGTCATAAAATATTCGCCCTACCTCTATACTAGACTGAGTAAATCGTTTACCTCGAATTGGTTCTCTCACAACCTTCTATTTCGGGCCCTATATATAAACTCGGTTTAGTCACGGGACGTGTGAATATATGGTTTTTGGATTCTAAAGTTTCATTCCTACTCATGTACATTCAGGTATGGCAATTGACCATAGATACAACCATCCTGGACAATTGTGGGAACGTCATCGACTGCGCGTCAATAGCTGTCATGGCGGCGCTCAGACACTTCCGACGACCCGATGTCACGGTACAGGGTGAAACCGCTACTATACACACACTCACAGAGAAAGAACCCGTGCCGTTAGGGTTACAACATATACCCTTTGCAATCACGTTCGGGTTTTTTGACGGGGGCAAGTATACACTGGTGGATACCAGCTTAGAAGAGGAGCATGTGATGGAGGGGAGACTGACGCTTACGTTAAATACGCACAGGGAAGTGTGTGCCATACACAAGTGTGGCGGCGCTCCTTTGCTACCTGACCAGGTATGATATGCTCATGTGCTAGTTTCCGTATGATAAACCATATAGTATGATGTGCTGATTTAATATTTTTTTGCATTTCTATGCTTATATAAATATGTATATATTTACATACATATATATATATATATATACGTATGTATGTATGTATATATATTTATATATTTATATATATATATATACAGATATACATAATACAGATGTGTAGATAGGTATATATATATATGTATATACATATAAATATATATATGTATATACATATAAATATATTTATATGTATATGTATATACATATAAATATATGTAAATATATATACATATAAATATATGTATTTATATTTATTCAAAAGGCTATGCATGCTGCGATAAAGGGCTGATAGTACTTTTTCAAACAGTACAATAGCCCAGTAAATACGAACTGAATTCACAAATTGTATCAAAGTGAAGCTGTCCACACTCTCTGAATAAACTGTTCGTGTTTATTTCCTTTTCAGATCATCCGGTGTGCGAAGATCGCCGCTGTCAAAGTTACTGAATTAAGCGATCTGCTCACAGCGGTGCTTGATGAGGCAGGCGCTGGTATAAGGTATGTTTCGCGATGATGTTTATAGTGATTTTAAAAACCTTTCTCCATGACGGATATATTGGTGTATATGAAGGGTATATAGGTATATAGGTCTGCTTATACATGTGTACGCCTTGATGTCTAAATTACAATCGCGATAGCGAAAGTTGCAACTCACAACCTCACAGTTGTTTCAAATAGGCCTATATCCGTATGTCACATAGTTGATTCTGAACAAGCTTCACGAGGAAGAAACATATTAAAAGCTAGTTAAATCTTCCAAAGATTGTGTATTTCACAATTTTGTGCGTGTAGTGCGTGTTAAAGTAAATTCCTAAAACCCGTCCACTCGCATGTCATTACAGCAATCCTCTGCCGGATAAGCGGTCGGCGCGGACCATTGGCGAACAGAATACCCATATAAAAGTAGTAACAAAGGAAGAGAAAATCATCGACTTAGCGAAAGACTTGGCGTCAGAAACGACCACCACCACGCAGCAGGACACACTGAACAGCGCGATGAGTGAAGATGGTAGTGAGAGTGAGGCTGAGAGTGACAGTGAGAGTGATAGTGAAGAGGAGGAGACCACGATGGTCTTGACCGGGATATAGCACATTACTCAATATTAAAAATCATGCAACTTATGACTGGCGGCTGGGTATTACATTTACTTTACGACTGATATAGAGAGGGGATATAGAGCATTACTCGATATTAAAATTCATTCAACTTATGACTGGCGAGTGGGTAATATATTTACTTTACGACTGATATAGTGAGGGGATATAGCACATTACTCGATATTAAAAATCATTCAACTTATGACTGGCGACTAGGTAATATATTTACATTACGACTGATATAGTGAGGGGATATATCATATTACTCGATATTGAAAATCATTCAACTTATGACTGGCAGCTGGGTACTATAATTACTTCATGACTGATATAGTGAGGGGATATAGCACATAACTATATATTAAAAAA